TTTAATAAGATAGAAAAACACCAAAGAGATAATGATAAACCATAAAGGAACAAGGATGGCTAAGGATGGAGAAGATTGACACGGATTACAAACGATGAATTTGAAAATTTGAGGCTAAACTTTTCAATCTGCGCAAACCGTGACTGAGCTCCTTTACCATCCCATATCCCTAAAACTCGTAATGTCACAAACACAATGAGGTTAAACTGCGTAGCCAGCAGCTCAGCGGTGCGCAGTGGCTAAAAAAACGCGCGTTGCGATGCCTCGAAAACGCCATTTTAATAAAGCAGAAAATTCGGCCTTAGTAACTTTTACGTGTCAATGTGATATAGATAGAGCGATTAGGGTTTAACTTGCCGTAACATGTGACAGAACAGAAACAAGCGGTAGTTTTGTGTTTAACCCTCCTCGGTCTTTGAGGGCACAGTATCTATATAATACATGTTGAATTACTTCTCTTTCTATTGAAATCAGACTTCCGCTGATATGCAAAAAGACTTGGCCATAGAAGAGTTCAAGAAGCAGAACTATGAAAGATCATTAAGGTTGTTCGGCGTAGCTCTCTTGCTTCACCCGGAAGATGATTCTTATGCGAATTTTAAACGTTCTGTTGAGAGTCATCGGGCGGCTGTATACTTTAGCATGAAACAGTACGAGCTGGCGCTTCAACTTGGAGAGGAATTCTACAGGTTAAATCCCTACACATCAAAGGTGAGCACCTAAACTTGTGCATAGTTACATACTTTACTTTATGAGGTTCAGACTGAGGGAACTACTAAATTATGACTGAAACACAGCAAGCCTTTTAAAGCCAGTTGGCGTATTCCGCGTTCAGGCATTGCAAACATGGCGTGAAATACAAAGTCAGCACGAAAAAACTTGCAGGCATCGTGTAAGAAACTTTAAAAACACAGTTACAGTAATTGATTTCCAGCCAACCTAAAGTTCTAATACTTGGCCGCAAAAATTTTAATTCATTTAGTTACAGCTTTTAACCGATCACTTTCTCCGATAAATTATGACCATTGGATTCCGGCGTAAAGTATTTTACCCCGAACCTAGTCCCAGTAGCACATGCTCGATCAAAATTCTAACATTGATAAAATTCATATCTTCGTGTTTTGTATTACGTGATAGCTTAATATTATCAAATCAAAATTCTTCACCTTTATTGTATTCGTTATTTTCCACTTTATTAAATCCATTTTGAAATCACTGGTTATCCTTGCAATCTGATTGGCTCTCAGTGGTGCGATTTNCCGTGCTCAATATACTAAGTTTGCAAATTTTCTAAGATTGCTTTGTCTGGTAAGTCCCATAAACGACTTGATACAAAAAAAAAAAGGCAAGAAAAATTCCAAATTCTAAATTTTCTAAAATTTCTTTGTCTAGTAATTCCTCCAAAAGAATTCATGCAAATAAATAAGACCAAATATAGAAGTTTGGCAGAGAGCGTCATTGCTTGTCTTATTAGATGGAACTGTTGAATGCAATTACCAAAGTTGCAAATGTTTGAGGAATAATTGAAGCGGAAATAAAACTGCACGGTCAAGTGTCAAGTAGAAAATCATGATATGGTCCAATAACTGAGAACACACGTTCTCACTTAGAATAATGAAATGTCAGTTATATAGTTCTAAAATTGTCAAACGTTGATCTCTTATTCGATATGTGCTTTTACATTTCTGCAACTTTTAACAACGAAGTCGTATCTATGTTGTGCTTATGTTGCACGAAGCTGTGTTCATCCTGTTCTACTCGGTGATCGCTTCTTATTGTACTCGTTAGCATAGATTTGAAGGAGTGTACCGAGTTTTGATTTACATTAATATGTTACCGGTGGTCGATATTTTTTTCTCTCATCTCACAGGAAGAGGCAGGAAGATGGAAGGAACGAGGAAATCGTCTTTCCAAAGACTCAAATTCCGTGGATCTAGCGATCGCTTACTATACACTTGCGCTGAGCTTCACGGCTTCAAACGAAAAGGACCTAAAAGCAACCATTCTTTCAAATCGATCATTAATGTACAAAAAGACAGGCAGAGGTGATTTAGCTCTCAAGGATGCTGAACTGTGCGTTGATAACAATCCTAAATGGGCAAAGGTAAGTCGGTAATAGACCAATTTCGATGTATTCTCACTACATAAATAATTAGCGCATCG